GGGGGAGGGAGGGAGGGAAATAATACTAGCAGTAGCACTTAAGACTTATATACCGCTTCACAGTGCTTTACAGCCCTCTCTAAGCGGTTTACAGTCAGCTCCTTGCTCTCAACAATCTGGCTTCTCATTTTACCCACCTCAGAAGGAGGGAAGGCTGAGTCAACCTTGAGCCGGTCAGGATCAAACTCTTGGCAATGAGCAGAGTCAGCCTCCAAAACTGCATTCTAACCACTGCGCCACCAGGGCTCCTTCAACTTTTTCTGCCAGGTTTTTGTGATGTGAATCACTGCGGTTCTTAAGTGAATCTGAGCAAATTCAGCTTCCCCCGTTGCTTGTTCAACCCATGACTCTAGGATGCTGCAACCGTTTTGAACCATACTGTTGGCCCAGCACCCGAATTCTGATCATGTGATCCTCTTCTTCACAAAGACTACCCCGAGGCTCTAGTCCTCATGACCCAGAAGCCCACTTTTGCCCCACTGGCAGGCCCACAGCCAGCCAAAAGCAATGATGTTCAGTGCTTGCATCAAGTCGGACTGGGAGAGAAGAGAAGGGAAGGGAAGGGAATAGATGGGGTAGGGAATAGATGGGGAAGGGAAGGGAAAAGAGGGGAACAGAAGTAAATATATGGGGAAGGGAAGGGAAGAGATGAGTTAAGGAAGGGAAGGGAAGGGAAAAGAAGGGAAGGGAAGAGAAGAGAAGTAAATAGATGGGGAAGGGAAGGGAAGAGAAGAGATAAGGAAAGGAAGGGAAGAGAAGTAAATAGATGGGGAAGGGAAGGGAAAAGAAGGGAAGGGAAGAGAAGAGAAGTAAATAGATGGGGAAGGGAAGGGAAGAGAAGAGATAAGGAAAGGAAGGGAAGAGAAGTAAATAGATGGGGAAGGGAAGGGAAAAGAAGGGAAGGGAAGAGAAGACACTCACCACATGGGCCTGATTTAATGCCACGGGGTAGGACATGGCGTGGGAGGGGTAGTGGGTCTCTGCCCCCCGCCAGGTCTGGGTTGCCGGTTGCGTAGATCCAGCCATTGTCAAAGCGGGGAGGGGGAAGCAGTCTTCTTTGGGGGTCCCTCCTGAGACTCAGCAATGCGACGCACTAAGGAATCCCGGAGTCCAGGCGTACGATGCTCGCCTCAGCCATGTCCCCTTGGGCCTGTAAGGGAAAGAAAGGCAGGATGGATTAGATTAGAGTCCCATTGAAAGAAAATGGTGGTGGGGGGGATTGAGACAGTTAAATGGGGAGGGGTACCTCCCTCCCGTGAAGGAGTCCCAACTTTAATTCTTGGTCCGGGGAAAAACAACCACCACCATCTGGCTAGGACCATTTTCCCCTCGCCTGCCAAAATCACGCGCACATGCCCACACCCATAAAGCAATGCGCCCCTCCCCTGCACATGTGCGCGCAACCCCTGCACTCTCACACACACACACCCGCGCATGCATGCAACCCCCCGTGCATCTACGCAACCCCCCGTAACATGTTTTGGGCCTAGCAGGCCTCCCTGAAGTCTGTTGAACCAAAATCGGGACGTGGGGGATACCCCACGTTTTGGGCCTAGCAGGCCTCCCTGAAGCGTCCTGAAATCGGAAACGGGGCACGCTGCACACACCCCCATGCTCCCCCTGCACATGTGCACGCGACCCCCTGCGCAGACAAGTACGTCTTCTGCATGTGCGGCAGAGACCTGAAAATCAGTTGGCCGTCAGGAGGCACGCGCGCATGTGCAGTGGAGCTGAGATGGGGGGGGGCTCGTGTGCCCGCAGAGAGGGCTCCTCCTGCCATCTGTGGCACGCATGCCATAGGTTTGCCATCACGGAACTAGGACATTTGAAGTCCTGGACTTACGACCATTATGGGAACCAGAATTTCCATCGCTCAAGTTAGGCAGGCTTGGGAAGCGGGCTAGGCCCGATTTTGGTTTTTTTGGCCAGGGATGTTGAGTGGATCACCGTAGTTATTAAGTGAATTACATTGGCTATTAAGCAAATCTGGCTACCCCCTCCCGCCTTAACTTGGTTTGCCGGGAGCCAGCTGGGAAGATTGCAAAGGATGGTCGGTGACACAAGCAATGCCCCCTGGGATGCCACAACCGTTGTAAACATGCAATTTCGATCACGCAGCTATGGAGTACCGGTTTTAAGTCACTATTTTTAGGATCGCTGTAACTTCAAACGGTCGCTAAACAAATGTTGTAAAGCGAGGACAACCTACGTAACCAGTTCTTTTTCACGGCTCCTTAAATTATTTTGCATAGTCCTCAGCTTACAACAATTCATTTCATGACCAAAGTTATAACGGCAGTGAAAAAAAATGACTTCCGATCATTTTTCACACTTTGAAGCATCCTCCATGATTCAGACACTTGGCAACTGACTTGCACTTATAACAGTCTCAGTGTCCCAGATTCCCCTTTTGCAGCCTCCACATAAACAAAATCAAGATGGAAGCCAGATTCATTGAACAAGCGGGTTACTACTTATCCACTGCGGAGATTCACTTAACAACTGTGACAAGAATGTTTGTAAAACGGGACAAAACGCTGTAGAGATTCTGAGTCCTTCAAGTCACGGTTGTCCCAAAGGTGCTTTTTCAGGAGGTGACTGGACTTTCTTTTTTTTTCCTTTGAAGACATTTTGCTTCTCCTCCAAGAAGCTTCTTCACCTCTGACTAGATGATGGAGGATGGAAGGATTTATACTCCTTGCAGACATCTGGTCCTTTGCATCCTTTTAGAGGGTCCTTGAAGCACTTGGAGGTTTATCTTAAAGGATACTAAAAGGATGCAAAGGACCAGCTGTCTGCAAGGAGTATAAATCCTTCCATTCCTCACTCTCCTGACAGAACTGAAGAAGCTTCTTGGATGAGAAGTGAAACAACTTCAAAAGAAAAAAAGAAGAAAGTCCAGTTACTTCCTGAAAAAGCACCTTTGGAATGGGACAAAACTATGTTTTTACTTAACAACAGAAACATTGGACTGAACTATGGTCATAAGTCGAGGACTACCTATAGAAAGCTCTGCTTTGTCAAGATTTCTATTTAAAAAAAACCAGTTCTCCAGGTGCTTCAAGAAGCCCTCCACTCCCATCCTGAAATAAGCTTTATTTACACCCTGCTTAAGGTAAAGGTTCTTCTCGCACATATGTGCTAGTTGTTCCTGACTCTAGGGGGCGCTACTCATCCCCGCTTGAAAGCCAAAGAGCCAGCGCTGTCCGAAGACATCTCCGGGGTCATGTGGCTGGCATGACTCAATGCCGAATGCGCACGGAACACAGTTCCCTTCCCACCAAAGGTGGTTCCTATTTTTCAACTTTTTACATGCTTTCAAACTGTTAGGTTGGCAGAAGCTGGAACAAGCAACGGTTACGCGGCGCTAGGTATTCGAACCGCCAAACTGCTGGCCTTTCTGATCGACAAGCTCAGCATCTTAACCACCGAGCCACCGCGTCCCTATACACTCTGCTTAAATTGGCCCAAATTGGCAGGAGCAAAGTTGACCCAACCGTTTTCTCCAAACCAAGTTTGTTTGTTTTTTTCTTCTTCCCCTTCATCCATTGCAGCATTGAAATAATTTTGTTTTTCTTGCATGGTTTCCAGAAGGGAAGAGAAAAAGGAAGCCCAACATACCACCAACAGAATTCGGTTTCCTCAGAATTTATCCCTGGGGTTGCGTAACAAAAGGGACTCATTTACAAAACTGTCCCCAGGTTCATTCTTGGGTACCTTACCTTCCCTCTCCACTCCCGGAAGGGGATGGAAAAAGTTGCCTCACCAGTTGAATATACTTCAAAAACTTTCTCCTTAGTCTTTTCAAACCTTCCCTCCCCTCCGTCCTTGGTTGGAGGTCCTTGGCTTATAACTGACTGTTAAGCAAGCTTTTGAAGTTACCACCACACCTGGTGGGGGGGGGGGGGAATAACTTATAACCTATCCTCAGACTTATGACCATCATAACTTCCCTGCAAGTCACAGGATCGCCGCTTGAGACTTTCCAAGCTGGCTTCCAACTGGTCAGGCCAATGGGGAAAGCTGGCAGCAGATTGCCAATAGTGCTCACACCTGGCTTAATGACTGTGGGTGATTTGGTTAATGATCTAAATAATCTAAATAATTGAAAGGTCAAGCTATTTTCCAAAGCACACGAAGGCCAGAGAAGGAATAATGGATGAAAACGGATTCTGAAAAGAGTGCAGAGGAGCAACCAAGATGATTGGGGGACTGGAGATTAAAACGTACGATGAACGGTTGCAGGAACGGGCATGGGTGGTCTAGTGAAGAGAAGGACCAGGGGAGACAGGATAGCAGTCTTCCAATATTTGAGGGGCTGCCACAGAGAGGAGGGGGGCAAGCTATTCTCCAAAGCACCTGAAGGCCAGACAAGGAATAATGGATGGAAACTGATTAAGGAGAGATTCAACCTGGAAATAAGGATAATTTTTCTGACAGTGAGACCAATCAACCCATGGAGCAGAAGTTGCCTTCGGAAGTTGTGGAAGCTTCATTCCTGGAGGCTTTCAAGAAGAGACTGGACTGCCATCTGTCAGAAATGGTGTAGGGTTTCCTGCTTGGGTAATGGTTGGATTAGATGACGTACAAGGTCCCTTCCAACTCTGTTAATCTAAATCTATCTAAGATGATCAAAGGCCTGGAGACTAAAACATATGATGAACAGTTGCAGGAACTGGGCATGGCTAGTCTAGTGAAGAGAAGGACCAGGGGAGACACGATAGCATCGTCCAATATTTGAGGGGCTGCCACAGAAAAGAGGGGGTCAAGCATGAGGTTTTTAAGAAGAGTACAGACGGTCACTTATCTAAAATAGCCTAGGTTCTCCTGCTTGAGCAAGGGGCTCGACTAGAAGACCTCGAAGGTCCCTTCCAGCTCATTCATTCAAAAAAGGGTTGGGGAAAGCATCTAATTTGCAAACCACAAAACGCCCATCTTCAAACTCTGGTTTAGGATTTAAAAACAACCACATTGGATTCCACATTGGCAGAACTAAAAGAGGAATACAGGTAGTCCTCCATTTACAACAATTCGTTTAGTGACCATTCAAAGTGACAACGGTACCAAAAAGTGACTTACGACCATTTTTCACACTTACGACCGCTGCAGCCTCTCCATGGTCACGTGATCAAAATTCAGGTGTTTGGCCATTGACTCCTATTTATGACAGTTGCAGCGTCCCAGGGGTTCACGGGAGTCCCCTTTTGCGACCTTCTGACCAGCTAAGTCAAAGGGGAAGAAGCCAGATATCACTTAATGACCGTGCCACTAACTTAAAACTGCAGCAATTCCCTTAACAAACTGTGGCAAGGCAGGTCGCAAAATGGAGCAGAATGCGCTTAACAAATGTCTTGCTTAGTCACATGAATCTGGGGGCTCAGTCGTAGTCATAAGTCGAGGACCATCCGTGCCTTGATTTTTGGGAGTCATACCCAACTCAACAATCCCAACACGGATCTCCACCAGGAAAATCAAGCTGTTTACAAATCCTAAATCCGTTTTTTTTCCCCGAGGCTACTCAATGTTCCCTCCCTCCCCAAAATTGCATCAAAGCAAAAAAAGAAAAAGGGGGTAAGGGGGGGGGGGAAATCCCAAAAGGATCAATTCGCTTCTCCTCTGTGCCTCCCTTAATGTTTCTCCCTGCCAGCAATTATTCTCCGTAGCTATGGAAACTCCGGCTGCCGTTTTCAAGAGAACTGTGGGCGAAGCTTTGAGCCCAATTTTCTCATTGCAGGGAAGTTATTTTGTGTTCCAATAAATCCCCCATCGCCAATTTTTTTATACTTGAATCGGACCAACGTCCTTCCGTTTTTATTTGGATTTGATTTGGGGGTTTGTTTGTTTTTTTGGTGGAGTACCAGTTTAGCAGAAAAAGGGATTCAGACTCAGTATGGTATAAAAAAAAAAATGATTCCCCACACTTGTGTTGCTAAATGCCTGCCTTAAGGTTACGGCAGGTGGCTTGCTGGCAGGCAGGATTTTCGCTTGGGTGGCACAGAAGCTTTGCAAAATTTGAGGAAAGCAAACAAAAAACTATTTAAGTTTCAGTTTCGGACACTTGAAAGATAACAAAAACAAATAAAGTGATTGGGGTGGGATTTTTTAAAATAACTTTTCTTTGGATTCAATGGTTTATGGTTTACAGGGTGG